CACTACCACTGTCCTACTTCAGCGGCAACCGAGTGTGGAGGAGTCTCTCTCGCCGCAGCAGCTTCGCGAGTGGGCTATCTGGTGGGGCAGCCCTGGTGGTGGAGCTAGCCGTGCTAGAGCTAGAGGTGCTGGTGCTCGCGGTGCTCGTACTCGTCGGCAGCAGACGCTCTCGTCGCAGCAGCTTCGCGAGTGGGCTGTCCGGTGGGGCAGCCCTGGTGGCGGAGCCTGTGGTGCTACTACTGGAGGTACTTGTGAGTCTACTCCTACTGGTAGTGCCGTTGGTAGACGCGGAGGTTTTGGGGGTGGATAGCAGCGGCAGCAGCATCCGCCGGAGACACTCTCGCCGCAGCAGCTTTGTGAGTGGGCTGTCCGGTGGGGCAGCCCCGGTGGCGGAGCTTGGGGTACTAGTGCTGGGGGTGGAGAGGCACCTAGTGGTGTAGAGGCTACTATTCTAGGTGCTTGTGACTCAGCTAGCACAAGTGCAAAGTCTGAGGAGGCCTTGCACAATTTCCTACTCGACTCCGGCGCGTCTCGCTGCTTCTTCCACAACTGCACCACAGCCAGACCGCTCACAACCCCTGTCCCTGTCACTCTGGCCGACCCCTCTGGTGGCCCAATTGTTGCACGTAGCTCCACTATTCTCCCGTGTCCCGCAGCCCCCTCCGGTTCCCTCACAGGTTTCCACCTCCCCTCGTTTGCTAGGAACTTGGTGGCTACAGCTGTCCTACAGGACCAGTTTGTCATTGATACCCAGCCTGGGGGAGAGCTTGTGGCGATCTGTACGAACTCACGCACTAGCGAGCACGTCGCCACATTCACTCAGAGGCCCGGGTTGTCAAACATATATGCTATAGTCAATCTAGGCTGTAGAGGGGTAGTCCTTATAGGGTACAACACTTTTAGGCTTCATACTTGTACCCACCTGCTTGCTAGTTCAGTCATTCATTCGGTCAGTATTCTAACATGGTATTCTGAGCAGGTTCCCTCGTGGGAACGTTTTTTTTTTAGGGCCCACCACGAATTTATTCTGCCCGAAGCGCGCCTCGCGCCTGCTTTACCTGCGCCGTCGCGCGCCCTTCCTTAGCTGGCCCGTCGCGGCCCTGCCTCAGCCGGCCCGTCCCGGCCCTTAGCTGCCCGTCGCTGGCCCGTCGCCACGCGTCGCGGACCTACCTTAGCCGCCCACTGCGGCACCGTGCTGCCCTTCGCCGCCCGTCGCCGGCCAGTCCCGGTCCGTCTCGGCCCGTCCCGGCCCGTCCCGGCCCGTCGCCGGCCCGTCCCGGCCCCTTTGCCGCCCGTCGTCGGCCCATTCGCCACCCGTCGCGACCCCTGACCTGCTGCCGCCCTGTCGCGGCCCCTGCCCTGCTGCTGCCCCAGTCGCAGCCCCTGCCCTGCAGCCGCCCACTGTCGCGGCCCTGCCCTGCAGCCGCCCCCTGTCGCGGCCCTGCCTTGCTGCCGCCCTTGTCGCGGCCCTGCCTTCGCCGCCCGTAGCGGCCTCTGCCCTGCAGCCGCCCTGTCACAGCCCTGCCCTACTGCCGCCCCTGTCACGGCCTTGCCCTGCTGCCGCCTGTCTGTCTCGGCCCTGACCTAAACCGCCAGCTGCGGCCCTGCACTGCACCCGCCCCTGGTAAGCACCCGCGCTGCCCTGCCGCGCTGCGCCGCCTGCTTCCGCGCCGCGCCGCCAGAAACCGAGCCGTGCCGCCCTGCCGAGCCGCGCCGCCCCATCGAGCCGCGTCGCACTGCCGAGTCGCGCTGCCCTTCTACTTGCACTGCTTCTGCTGCCAGTACTGCTATTGCTGCTAGGTTTGCTGCTGCTGCTGCTACTGCTACTATGGCTAGCCCTACTGTTCTCACCTTTGATGCTGAGGGGCGTGCAGTTGACAGAGTATCCCTTTTCGATCACACGTCCGGTGTCTCTACTGCACCTGCTGCCACTGCTGACTGTACGGTTCGCTCGCAGTGGACCACTCGTGACGCTGTTGCTCGCCTTGCTGTTCGTAGTCACCTGCCGCCTGCTGAGCGCGCGCATTTTGGCCAGTACAAGACTGCTCAGTCTTTGTACGACGCTGTAGTTGCGCGCTACTCCTCCCCTGCCACTGCTGCCCTCAGCCGCCTCATGCTACCTTACCTTTTCCCTGACCTTGCTGCCTTTGCCACAGTTGCTGACCTCATTACTCACCTCCGCACTAGTGACGCCCGCTACCGCGCTGCCCTTCCCACTAAGTTCTGTGCCAAGAACCCCCCCCCCATGTACATCACCCTTTACTACCTAGTCACCCGCCTCCCTGACTCCCTTGCTTCAGTCAGGGACCACTTTCTCTCCCTTTGCCCCACCGAGCTCACTGTCGACCTGCTAGATGAGCGCCTCGCTGCAGCTGAGAAGAGTATCTTAGCTGTAGGTGCTTCTCGCGGCGACCGTCGCACCCCTTTCTTTGAGGGGTGTTCCCCTGTCCCCCTTCTCCCCTCTGTTGCTTCTGCTGCTGCTGTCGACCTCGTTGGCGCTGAGGAGGTCGGGGCTGCGTCTGCTCCCAGTGGGAGACGCCGCACCAGCAAAGGCAAGGGGAGCAAGGGTGGTGGGGGGGACGGCGGGGGCGGCGGCGGAGGCGGTGGAGGAGGCGGAGGGGGTAGCGGTGGAGGTGGGGGTGGTACCGGGAGTGGGGGCTTCAGTGGCGGCGGCGGAGGTGGTGGAGGCAGCGGCAGCGGTGGTGGAGGTGGCGGCGGCGGAGGTGCTGGTCGAGGTGCAGCCGCGCAGCGTGGAGGCTTTGGTGGTAGCCAGCGCCAGCAGCAGCCGCGTTCCCGTGAGACCCCGTCGGCCCAGCAGCTTCGTGAGTGGTACGCTGGGCGTGCGAGGTCTGGGGGTGCTGGTCCCTGTACTTTCGTTCTTCGCACCGGCGGGCGTCGTGAAGAGACGTGCGGGCTGCCGCACACTGAGCAGCGCTGCTTCGGTCGCCTGACTGACGCCTGGCGCGCCCAGTTTCCTGACGCTGTTGAGCTCCCTCGCTGGCATGATCTGCTTAGGCAGAATGTTGCTATCTTTGATCTTGATTTCGATGCTATCCTTGCTGCTATGTATGCTGTGACTCATAGTGCTGAGTGTGACTGTTACCTGAGTGTCCCGCCCGACCCGAGCATTGCGGCTGCTGCTCTAGGTGCTAGTGCGTCTGCTGCTCCAGGTGCTGGTGAGTCTGCTCTCTCTGGTACTGCACCTACTGAGGCCTTGTGTGAGAGTACGCCGACGTTCGACATATTTCTCATTTCCATATTTTTACTCCATCTTATTCTCCTTATTTTCCTCTTTCATTTTCACTTTATTTCACCTCAATCGGACTACTATTCTATTTTCTAGAGCTTTCCGATTATTTCACTTATTTGGTATTTTCGGCACCGACATTTACATTATACGGCACCGACAGCACCGACAGTGGTGTACAAAGCGTAATCTCGCCATAATCCGAAGTGCCAATGGGCTTGCGTGCTTATGCGCACTTGTGATCATCTATTCTAGAAGAGCGCGTTCCCGAAGGTTCGGATTATCTGTTGTTTCTATGTATTTCTGATTATAAATACGCCTTGCACTCACCTTTAGTGCAACATTCTCGAGTGGAAATTCGATCCTGTGACACTTGGTAATCAGAGCCGTTTTCACTCGCGGAGTTTCAGCTAAGCAGCGCGCTCAAGAAATTCCTGCTTCGAAAAACCGCCGGGGGCGACGAATTCGGCGCCGACGCTGGTAAGCACCAGATTCCGCGTTTTTTTAATAACCCTCGCGCGTTTTTTGAACAGGGTCGTGAGTTCGATTGTTGGCGAAAACGTTTGCGATACAAGGACGACAATTGCGAATTGTCGGGACTTATATCGAGCGATGCAGAATTAGCGAGACCGACGCGCGACGGATCGAACGACTTTGGGTGAAAGCGCGCGTCATGGCGAAAATTGCGACAGAAGCAGAATCGATCGTGACTTCGCAGCAGTTGCGCAATTTTCCCAAGGCCCAAGAAATTCGAGCCCCCAACACCTTTGATGGGGAAATCGATGCTAGGCGCTGGCTTTTGGCGATCGAAATTTATTTCGCCGCCATTGGATGGACAGCACCAGCACTCGACAGAAACAGAATTAATTTTGCAGCAACACTACTGCGCGGACCAGCAATTGAATGGATAAGCAGAAGCGGTTTATTAAACCAAGGTGAAGCGACGTGGCAGCTGTTCCGTGAAGGATTACTACAACGTTTTGAGCCAATTAATGCAGCGTTTATCGCCCGCGACAAAATACATCGTCATCGACACATCGGGAGCGTCGCGAACTACACGCAACAAATAGAGGAGTTGTTCAACCGCATCCCCGACGTCACAGAAGGCGAAAAAATTAGAGCATTCATCGCGGGGCTGAAAAAAGAAACACGACAACATGTTGCGGCCGCGAATTGGAGCATCTACAACGACGTCGTTTCGGCAGCGGAACGTTTTTACGTAACCACGATCGGAACACGACGACTTCATGGACGAGCTAGACGACATGGAGGACGCTTGGCTAACCTCACGTACGCCGACCCGATGGAACTCGATCGAATCGACGCGAAGGCAAGACCAAAGAAGAACAAATCTAAGTGTTATTTCTTCGGCAAGCCCGGACATCGACTCATCGATTGTGACGAAATGAAAACTGCACGTTCAGCGCTTAGGGACCGCAGCAGTGGAGCAGATTTAATGCGAATATTGGAGGATCGTGGAGTGAATTTTTCAAACCACGAACGGACTCTACCAGGGAAAATCGCCGAGGGAAATAAAATCTCCGCGACACAAGACCCTGCTGGACCCGGACAACTCCAAAAAGGCCCTGTAAAAAGTAAGCACCCCTTCAAAATATCATACAAGGATGCTTTACTTGGAAAAAATTCCCTTGGGTCTACGGCCTTTGTGAAATCACGAGAGAGGCTCCAGAAGAAAAAGAATGTACCGGTACGACAACTACAGCAGCTGCGCATGGGGAACCAACAACGGAGCATGGAAGATCGACCTTCCAACGACGACATCGTCCTCTCTCTGAAAAACCAGCCCACGTCGACCAACCGGTCCTCACGGAAGAAGTCGGTGGCGCTGAAGCAGCTCAAGAGGGAGCTGGAAGTCAACATGAAGCTGCGACGACCTCAAACCTCCTCTACAGATGCATCTGCAACATATGAAACATCTACGGTATCTACCCCATCTATGAATTCTACTACGAGCTCGAGAACCACGTCGTCGACGACAACAAAAAATCATGGCAATAGGGAACGGCAGGACCGGCCATCTGCCACCCCAAGAGAAAACACAGAGCTATGGGAAATGCCCTATGATCCAATCAACGAGACGATCAACGGGTACAACGAGCAACGCCAACCACTTTTGCTCGAGGTGATCTGCAATGGACGACGCCTCCAAGCACTCGTGGACAGCGGAGCATCCCATTCAGTATGCGACAAAGCAACCCTCGAACGCATCAATGAGAAGTACACGCCTTCAAACTTCACAGCTACGATGGTTGACGGAAGCAAATTACAAGTCTACGGCGAAGCAGCGTTACACCTGCAGATGGGTCCTCTTCGCTGGAAATCAACCCTATCCGTCACCAACATCAAAGGGCTAGACTTGATTCTTGGGAGAGATTTTCTAAAGAAGTTCAACCCCGAGATCAACTGGGTCACCCGCACGGCGAGTATTTACAATCAAGACAGAATAGTTCCTCTTCCGAATTGGAGCAACACGGGAGATATTCCGGAGGAGACTCTCGCACGCTTCGAGAAGGACGTGAAGCGAACCATGGCAGGGTTTGTTGCACTGGTTACCAACGAGGACGAAGGAGAGAGAAAAACGCTCGAGCTTCCACCAGCAATCCAGAAACTTCTAGAAGAGTTCGAAGACGTTCTCCCTGACGACCTTCCAGACCAGTTGCCGCCATACCGAACCCACCAGCACGAGATCATCGAAGAACCTGGTTCAAAACCGACCTTCCGGGCACCATATCGACTCAGCCCTACCGAGTTGGCCGACATGAAGAAGCAGATCGAGTACCTTCTGGACAAAGGACTCATTCGACCATCAACATCACCATACGGTGCACCATGTTAGAATCCTAGCGTGACTTAGGAGCCATGGCTAGTGAGTGTCGAGAGAGTTGAGTGTCGAGAGAATTGGAAAGGAGAATGAGGTGGTTTCACTATAGGAAGTTGGGATACAAATAGCAAACCCTAAATTGGGTTGTACTCACTACAGAGTACCTCACTGCAGGCTAAACAGCAAATACATTCTGACACACCCCCATAGCCTAAGTGGGGTATAATCAGCAGAGCAAGCAGTCATAGAGCAGGTTCACAAGTACAAGCAAAGCTAGAGGCATTCACAAAGGGCAAGTGAGGAGGAGGAGGCTGGACTGTGAGAGGAGAGGAGATAGGAGGCGACTGCTGATGCTGCAGACACACGGGCAACAGGAGCGGCGCGCACCGCTCAACCTCCCCCAACTGTCCCACCCCCCTTTCACACACCCCTTGCTGCACCCCTAGCTCCACTCCCACGTCACCCCCCTAGAACCACTCCCTCGGCTCCCACACACCCACCCCCCTCAGCGGCAGCTGCAGCAGTGGGAGACGAAGGTGGAGGAGGAGGGGACGGTTCACACACCCGCCACCCCCATACCCGCCACCCCGCAGTTGCACCCACACCCGCCACCCCCATACCCCCACCCCACTGCTGCACCTGCAGCAGGGGATGGAGGAGAAGGGGGGGGGGGGGGGGCGGGGGGGGGCTGGTGCTGCAGATCCCCTCCCCCTCACTGCTGCACCCGCAGCAGGGGAAGGTAGGAGAAGGGAGGGGGGGGGGGGGGGGTTGGGGCGGGGGGGGGGGGGGGGCTGTGCATGGCACGTGCAGAGGGCAGCAGGGCGCACGGGGCGCACAGGGCAGCAGGGCGCACAGGGCAGCAGGGCAGCAGGGCGCGCGGGGCGCACAGGGCTGCAGGGCGCGCGGGGCGCACAGGGCAGCAGGGCACCAGGGCGCGCGGGGCGCAGCAGGGCTGCAGGGCGCGCGGGGCGCGCAGGGCAGCAGCAAGGGCTGTAGCGGCAACAGCAAGGGCTGTAGCGGCAGCAGCAGGGCAGCAGGGCGCACAGGGCTGCAGGGCAGCAGGGCGCACAGGGCTGCAGGGCAGCAGGGCGCGCGGGGCGCGCAGGGCTGCAGTGCGCGCAGGGCGCGCAGGGCAGCAGGGCGCGCGGGGCGCGCAGGGCTGCAGTGCGCGCAGGGCGCACAGGGAAGCAGGACAGCAGTGCGCGCAGGGCTGCAGGGCGCGCGGGGCGCACAGGGCAGCAGGGCAGCAGGGCGCGTGGGGCGCAGCAGGGCTGCAGGGCGCGCGGGGCGCGCAGGGCAGCAGCAAGGGCTGTAGCGGCAACAGCAAGGGCTGTAGCGGCAGCAGCAGGGCAGCAGGGCGCACAGGGCTGCAGGGCAGCAGGGCGCACAGGGCTGCAGGGCAGCAGGGCGCGCGGGGCGCGCAGGGCGCGCAGGGCAGCAGGACAGCAGGGCGTGCAGGGCGCGCAGGGCTGCAGGGCGCACGGGGCGCAGCAGGGCTGCAGGGCGCGCGGGGCGCGCAGGGCAGTAGCAAGGGCTGTAGCGGCAACAGCAAGGGCTGTAGCGGCAGCAGCAGGGCAGCAGGGCGCAGAGGGCTGCGGGGCAGCAGGGCGCACAGGGCTGCAGGGCAGCAGGGCGCGCGGGGCGCGCAGGGCTGCAGGGCGCGCGGGGCGCACAGGGCTGCAGGGCGCGCGGGGCGCACAGGGCAGCAGTGCAGCAGGGCGCACAGGGCTGCAGGGCAGCAGGGCGCGCGGGGCAAACAGGGCAGCAGGGCGCACAGGGCAGCAGGGCAGCAGGGCGCACAGGGCTGCAGGGCAGCAGGGCGCGCGGGGCGCGCAGGGCTGCAGTGCGCGCAGGGCGCGCAGGGCAGCAGGCAGGACAGCAGGGCGCGCAGGGCTGCAGGGCGCGCGGGGCGCACAGGGCAGCAGGGCAGCAGGGCGCGCGGGGCGCAGCAGGGCTGCAGGGCGCGCGGGGCGCGCAGGGCAGCAGCAAGGGCTGTAGCGGCAACAGCAAGGGCTGTAGCGGCAGCAGCAGGGCAGCAGGGCGCACAGGGCTGCAGGGCAGCAGGGCGCACAGGGCTGCAGGGCAGCAGGGCGCGCGGGGCGCGCAGGGCTGCAGTGCGCGCAGGGCGCGCAGGGCAGCAGGACAGCAGGGCGCGCAGGGCGCGCAGGGCTGCAGGGCGCACGGGGCGCAGCAGGGCTGCAGGGCGTGCGGGGCGCGCAGGGCAGTAGCAAGGGCTGTAGCGGCAACAGCAAGGGCTGTAGCGGCAGCAGCAGGGCAGCAGGGCGCACAGGGCTGCAGGGCAGCAGGGCGCACAGGGCTGCAGGGCAGCAGGGCGCGCGGGGCGCGCAGGGCTGCAGTGCGCGCAGGGCGCGCAGGGCAGCAGGGCGCGCGGGGCGCGCAGGGCTGCAATGCGCGCAGGGCGCACAGGGCAGCAGGACAGCAGGGCGCGCAGGGCTGCAGGGCGCGCGGGGCACTGCAGGGCTGCAGGGCGCGCGGGGCGCGCAGGGCAGCAGCAAGGGCTGTAGCGGCAACAGCAAGGGCTGTAGCGGCAGCAGCAGGGCAGCAGGGCGCACAGGGCTGCAGGGCAGCAGGGCGCACAGGGCTGCAGGGCAGCAGGGTGCGCGGGGCGCGCAGGGCGCGCAGGGCAGCAGGACAGCAGGGCGCGCAGGGCTGCAGGGCGCACGGGGCGCAGCAGGGCTGCAGGGCGCGCGGGGCGCGCAGGGCAGTAGCAAGGGCTGTAGCGGCAACAGCAAGGGCTGTAGCGGCAGCAGCAGGGCAGCAGGGCGCAGAGGGCTGCGGGGCAGCAGGGCGCACAGGGCTGCAGGGCAGCAGGGCGCGCGGGGCGCGCAGGGCTGCAGGGCGCGCGGGGCGCACAGGGCTGCAGGGCGCGCGGGGCGCACAGGGCAGCAGGGCAGCAGGGCGCACAGGGCTGCAGGGCAGCAGGGCGCGCGGGGCAAACAGGGCAGCAGGGCGCACAGGGCTGCAGGGCAGCAGGGCGCACAGGGCTGCAGGGCAGCAGGGCGCGCGGGGCGCGCAGGGCTGCAGTGCGCGCAGGGCGCGCAGGGCAGCAGGCAGGACAGCAGGGCGCGCAGGGCTGCAGGGCGCGCGGGGCGCACAGGGCAGCAGGGCAGCAGGGCGCGCGGGGCGCAGCAGGGCTGCAGGGCGCGCGGGGCGCGCAGGGCAGTAGCAAGGGCTGTAGCAGCAACAGGCTGTAGCGGCAGCAGCAGGGCAGCAGGGCGCACAGGGCTGCAGGGCTGCAGGGCAGCAGGGTGCGCGGGGTGCGCAGGGCTGCAGGGCGCGCGGGGCGCACAGGGCTGGAGGGCGCGCGGGGCGCACAGGGCTGCATGGAAGCAGGGCGCGTGGGGCGCGCAGGGCTGCAGTGCGCGCAGGGCGCGCAGGGCAGCAGGCAGGACAGCAGGGCGCGCAGGGCTGGAGGGCAGCACAGGGCTGCAGATCCCCTCCCCCCCACCGCTGCACCCGCAGCAGGGGGATGGAGGAGAAGTGGGGGGGGGGGGGGGGGGGGGGGCTGATGCTGCAACTCCCCTCCCCCCCACTGCTGCTGCAGATCCCCTCCCCCCACTGCTGCACCCGCAGCAGGGTGGAGGAGAAAGGGGGGGGGGGGGGGGGCGGGGGGGGCTGGTGCTGCAGATCCCCTCCTGCCTCCCTCTGAACCTCCAAGCTCCCCCCCCCTCCCAACACAGGGTGCGGCAGGGAGAGAGAGAGGAGAAAAGGGGGGGGGGGGGGGGCTGATGCTGCAAATCCCCTCCCCCCACTGCTGCTGCAGATCCCCTCCCCCCCACTGCTGCACCCGCAGCAGGGGTGGAGGAGAAAGGGGGCGGGGGTGGGGGGGGCTGGTGCTGCAGATCCCCTCCTGCCTCCCCCTGAACCTCCAAGCTCCCCCCCCCTCGCAACACAGGGTGCGGCAGGGAGAGAGTGAGGAGAAAAGGGCGGCGGGGGGGGGGGGGGGGGGCTGATGCTGCAAATCCCCTCCCCCACTGCTGCTGCAGATCCCCTCCCCCCCACTGCTGCACCCGCAGCAGGGGTGGAGGAGAAAGGGGGGGGGCGGGGGGGGGGGTTGGTGCTGCAGATCCCCTCCTGCCTCCCTCTGAACCTCCAAGCTCCCCCCCCCTCCCACAGGGTGCGGCAGGGAGAGAGAGAGGAGAAAAGGGGGGGGGGGGGGGGGGGGGGGGGGGGGCTGATGCTGCAAATCCCCTTCCCCCACTGCTGCCACCCGCAGCAGGGGTGGAGGAGAAAGGGGGGGGGGGGGCGGGGGAGCTGGTGCTGCAGATCCCCTCCTGCCTCCCCCTGAACCTCCAAGCTCCCCCCCCCCTCCCAACACAGGGTGCGGCAGGGAGAGAGTGAGGAGAAAAGGGCGGCGGGGGGGGGAGGGGGCTGATGCTGCAAATCCCCTCCCCCACTGCTGCTGCAGATCCCCTCCCCCCCACTGCTGTACCCGCAGCAGGGGTGGAGGAGAAAAGGGGGGGGGGCGGGAGGGGGCTGGTGCTGCAGATCCCCTCCTGCCTCCCTCTGAACCTCCAAGCTCCCCCCCCCTCCCAACACAGGGTGCGGCAGGGAGAGAGAGAGGAGAAAAGGGGGGGGGGGGGGGGGGGGGGGGGCGGGCTGATGCTGCAAATCCCCTCCCCCCACTGCTGCTGCATATCCCCTCCCCCCCACTGCTGCACCCGCAGCAGGGGTGGAGGAGAAAGGGGGGGGGGGCGGGGGGGGCTGGTGCTGCAGATCCCCTCCTGCCTCCCTCTGAACCTCCAAGCTCCCCCCCCTCTCCCAACACAAGGTGCGGCAGGGAGAGATAGAGGAGGAGGCGCGGCGGCAGCTGCTGCTGCTGAGGCACATCCGCCACCCCCTCACACCCTCTCCCCCCCGTCCCCATGGAGGAGGGGGAGGGGGGGGAGGGGGGCGGGGGCGGAGCTGCGCGTGCGACTGCAGGGCACGCGGGCAGGAAGTCATCACCCCTCTTGCCATAGCTAGAGGCGACGAGGCCAGTGGGGCCGAGGGGCGCGGCTAGGTACGGGGCCGGGCGCTGGGCAGGTACGGGGCCAGGTGAAGGCTAGGTATGGGGCCGGGCGCTGGCTAGGGTCGGGGCCGTGCGCTGGGCTAGGTACGGGCCGGGCGCGGGGCTAGGTACGGGCCGAGCGCAGGCGAGAGACGGGGCCGGGCGCGGGCAGGGTACGTGGCCGGGCGCGGGCGAGGTACAGGGCCAGGCGCTGGCTAGGTACGGGGCCGGGCGCTGGCTAGGTTCGGGGCCGTGCGCTGGGCTAGGTATGGGCCGAGCGCGGGCGAGAGATGGGGCCGGGCGCGGGCAGGGTACGGGCCGGTCGCGAGGCTAGGTACGGGCCGGGCGCGGGGCTAGGAACGGGGCCGAGCGCGGGCAGGGTATGGGCCGGTCGCGAGGCTAGGTACGGGCCGGGCGTTGGGCGCGGAACGGAGGCCGGGCGCGAGGCTAGGTACGGGCCGATCGCGGGCTAGGTACGGGGCCAAGCGCGGGCGAGGTACGGGCCGAGCGTGGGGCTAGGAACGGGGCCGAGCGCGGGCTAGGTACGGGCCGATCGCGGGCTAAGTACGGGCCGGGCGCGGGGCGACGGAGTCGACGGGGCCAAGGGGCCGAGGCGACGGGGCCAAGGGGCCGAGCCTAGGGGCTAGGGGCGACGCGAAGGGGCGACGGGCCGGGGCCTAGGCTAGTAGGGCAGTAGGTGGTGGGCCCATTAAGATTAGGTCCTAGGAATTTTTTGCTCTTAATACCATGTTAGAATCCTAGCGTGACTTAGGAGCCATGGCTAGTGAGTGTCGAGAGAGTTGAGTGTCGAGAGAATTGGAAAGGAGAATGAGGTGGTTTCACTATAGGAAGTTGGGATACAAATAGCAAACCCTAAATTGGGTTGTACTCACTACAGAGTACCCCACTGCAGGCTAAACAGCAAATACATTCTGACACACCAGTGCTTTTCACACCAAAACCTGACGGAAGCTTACGCATGTGCATCGACTACCGAGCCCTCAACAAGCAGACGATCAAGAACAAGTATCCGATTCCACGTATCGACGATCTACTCGACCAACTTCGTGGAGCCACAGTATTCTCAAAACTCGATCTGAGATCGGGATATTGGCAGATCCGGATGGCGGATAACTCCATCCATAAGACAGCGTTTCGGACACGATACGGATCCTACGAGTACCTCGTCATGCCGTTCGGACTCACCAACGCACCCGCTACATTCCAGGCCGAAATGAACCATATTCTTAGGCCTCTACTCGACGAATGCATGGTGGTGTACCTGGACGACATCCTGATCTACTCGAGGGACATGAAGCAGCACATCAAACACCTACGACGTGTCTTCGAGATACTTCGATGGGAGAAGTTCTACGTCAAGCTATCCAAGAGCGAGTTTGCCTTGAAGAAAGTTCAGTTCCTTGGACACATGGTGAGCGCTCAAGGAGTCCATGTCGACCCAAAGAAGATCGAAGCCGTACGTACGTGGAAGACACCGGAGAACGTGAAGGAACTTCAGCAATTCCTTGGCTTTGCGAACTACTATAATCGGTTCGTGCCACAGTATGCGAAGATTGCAACACCTCTCACCAATCTACTGAAGAAGAATACACCGTTCAAGTGGGAGGATGTGCACCAGCAAGCCATGGAGCAGTTGAAGACCGCACTCACGTCCGCACCCATCCTGATCCTGCCAGATCCAGAAAAAGACTACGTCATCGAAGCTGACGCTAGCGACCAAGCAGTTGGAGCAGTCTTGATGCAAGACCAAGGGAAAGGACTACAACCAATCGCTTACCTCAGCAAGAAATTGCACGGGGCAGAACTCAACTACCCGATTCACGACAAAGAGGCCTTAGCGATCATCACCGCATTCAAGACATGGCGATGCTACGTCGAAGGGAGAAAGACCACGGTCTACACTGACCATTGCAGCCTAAAGTACCTGAAAACGCAGCCGACCCTCTCCAGACGACAAGTCAGGTGGATTGACTTCCTCGAGACGCACTTCGACTACGACATCGTGTACAAGCCGGGACACAAGAATAAGGCAGACGCACTGAGCCGGCCTGGACACGTTGCCGCCATACAGATTGAGGGGATGAATCCGCCACTCAAGGGACTCTTCACGCACGGGTATACCATCGACCCCGAGATTCCCTTAGCAGAGAAAAAGAAATTGTTGCAGTGGGACCACGACGTCGCACTACGCAAAGGATCAACAAAGATATGGGTACCCAACTACCCGCCTCTTCGGCAGTTGCTTCTCGAAGAATTCCATGACGTGCTCTACGCTGGACACTTCGGGAGTAACAAGACTCTTGCCGGGATTGCGAAAGTCTACTACTGGCCTCACATGGCAAACGACGTGCAAAAGTTTGTCACTTCGTGCGACACGTGCCAGCGGATGAAAAGCAGTAAGCAGAAGAAAGCAGGACTTCTTCAGCCTTTACCCGTCCCGGAACAGCCTTGGCAAGTGGTCAGCTTGGATTTCATCACCGGTTTACCACCTACCAGCGTGGGGCATGACGCCATCCTGGTCGTCATCGACAAATTCTCAAAGATGGGACACTTCATTCCGACACATACAACCACACGCACGGAGGAAACGGCACAGCTATTCCTCAAACACATCATCTCACAGCACGGGATCCCAACAACCCTCATATCCGACAGGGACCCCAAGTTTACTAGCAAGTTCTGGAAAGAGCTCATGTCGCTCATGGGGACACGCCTAGCAATGTCATCTGCATATCATCCCCAGACCGATGGGCAGACAGAGCGCTTGAACCAAATTGTGGAACAACTCTTGCGCGCAGCGTGCAAGGACGACATTAACAAGTGGGACTTGCACTTGCCGGTGTTGGAGTTCGCCTACAATAATGCGAAGCATGCCGCAACAGGAGAGACCCCATTTTCCCTCTGTTACGGACGACATCCACTAACTCCACAACAGCCGACAGTACCTGCAACTGTCCAACCCGCGCACGACTTCGTTACCACAATGCAGCAGCTTTGGGATCGGACACACAAGCGTCTACAGGACATACAGTCTTCACAGAAACGCTTGGCCGATCGCCATCGACGTGATCATACCATTGCGGTTGGTGACCATGTGCTTCTCGACACATGCAACCTGAACCTCGGTCACCTTCCATCCAAGTTACGACCTCGCTTCTGCGGACCTTTCCTCGTAGAAGAGCAGGTCACTCCAGTCACATTCCGCTTGCGCCTACCAGCTTCTTGGAAGATTCATAACGCCTTCCACGTGCAGCTTCTTAAACCCTATCAAGATCCAAATAAGCTGTACACGGGACGCCAACCTCCGCCGCCGCCTCCAGTCCTCGTGAATGATGAACTTGAATACGAGGCGCACTTGTGATTATCTATTCTAGAAGAGCGCGTTCCCGAAGGTTCGGATTATCTGTTGTTTCTATGTATTTCTGAGTATAAATACGCCTTGTACTCACCTTTAGTGCAACATTCTCGAGTGGAAATTCGATCCTGTGACACCTTGCACACTTTCAGTCTTGACTCTGGTGCTTCGCGCTCCTTCTTTCGCGACAGCACCACACTCACGCCGCTCAACCGGCCAGTAGCAGTCTCCCTGGCTGACCCCTCTGGGGGCCCGGTCCTTGCGCACTCTTCCACGGTTCTACCGTGTCCTACGGCCCCGTCGGGTTTGCTGCCGGGACTCCACCTCCCCTCGTTCTCTACGAACCTGGTGAGTGGAGCTGAC